ACTTCAACCAAATACAACGCGCCCGCGACAAGAATAAGCGGAACATCAACCATGGTCGTATCAACCGGTTCCGTAACACCCTCCACGCATGCGAGCTCAGCGAGATACACCTGCAAAATCGCCGTTTCACTTGGAGCAACGAGCGAGACAACCCCACCCTTTGCAAGCTCGATTCTTTTTTCTGCAATGAGGATTGGGATCTAGCCTTCGTCACCCACGTGATGCATGCTCTCTCCACTTCGCTATCGGACCACTGCCCTCTCCTTCTCGCGGATGGTAGTGGACCAAGGAGACCGTGTTGCTTCAAGTTTGAGAATTTTTGGACGTCCATGTCGGGCTTCCAGGAGGTGGTGGACAAGGCTTGGAGCGAGGTGTGCCCTCATGTGGAGCCGTATCTGCGACTCTTCCACAAGATGAAAAAAGTTAGTGTCAGGCTGGCGGAGTGGAGTCGAAAACTCTTCTCGAAGGCGAAGCTTCACTTGCATGTGGCCCTCTTGGTGATATTCCGCCTTGACGTCGCCCAAGAAGACCGGCAGCTCTCGCCTGAGGAGAAAGACTTGAGGGCAAAGCTTAAGAGAAGAGTGGTCAGTCTTGCGGTCTTGGAGCGGGCAAGGAGAAAGCAATGCTCTAGGGTCTCAAACTTAAAGGAGGGAGACGCCAACACCAAGTTTTTCCATCGAAGGGTGAATGCACGCCGAAGAAAGAACCACATCCATAGAATTAAGCATAACGGAGGCTGGGTCACTGGGCATGAGCAGAAGGAGGCCTTGATGCACGAGCATTTCACCAGCGTGATGGGGCGTGGGACTCCCTATCATGTGGACTTCAACTGGGACGAGCTCGACTTTGGCAATCACGACCTCTCCGACCTCGACAGCCCCATATCTGAGGAGGAAGTGAGAGATGCCATCAATGAGATGCCCAATGACAAAGCGCCCGGCCCGGACGGCTTCACTGGAATTTTTTTCAAGAAATGTTGGCCCACTATCAAGACTGACATCATGCAAGCCATCCACTCCTTCAGCAATTTGCATTCGGCAAACCTCCACTGGCTCAACGCTGCTAACATCTAGCTCCTTCCCAAAAAAGATGGGGCGGAGGAGATTGCAGACTACAGACCTATAAGCCTCATCCATGCCATCCCCAAGATCATTGCGAAGGTGCTTGCTCTACGGCTTGGCCCTCACATGCACGCCCTCATCTCCAGTGCGCAGAGTGCCTTCATCAAGAGGAGATGCATTCATGACAACTTTATGTATGTGAGGGGTCTTGCCCGCCGCCTCCATAAAAGCAGAACTCCAGCACTGCTCTTCAAGCTCGATATCCGCAAGGCATTTGACTCTGTCAAGTGGGAGTACATTATAGACCTTCTGCAGTGGAGGGGATTTCCTCCGCGCTTTCGGGGGTGGATCACGGCCTTGCTTCGTTCATCTTCCTCGCGAATCCTCCTTAACGGGGTCCCAGGACCCATCATCAGGCATGGTCGTGGCTTTCGGCAGGGAGATCTGATCTCTCCCCTACTCTTTGTCATTGCCATCGATCCCTTGCAGTAAATCCTCGACCTCGCGACCCGTCGTGGACTTTTACACAAGCTTAGAGGGCGTCGTGCCATTCTCCGCACATCCCTATATGCCGACGATGTTGCGGCCTTCATGGCCCCTATTAAGGAAGATATCGACAACTTTGCTCAGATCCTCAACTACTTTGGCAAGGTCACGGGCCTCTGTACAAACTTCCAGAAAAGCTCGGTCGTCCCAATTCGATGCAGAGACATCAACTTCGACCACATCCTGGCAGCCTTGCCGGCCTCCAGTGCAGCTTTCCCAATCAAGTACTTGGGGCTGCCTTTATCGGTTCGACAGCTGAGGCGAGGTGACTTCCAATTCCTTGAGGACAAAGTGGCGGCCAGGCTGGTGCCGTGGGACGGAGAGAATATTACCGCCATTGGGCGTGGGGCGCTTGTCAAGTCCGTGCTAACCTCTCAGGTCATTTACCACATCATCGCCCTTAGGCCTCCATCGGGTACCCTGTAGAACATCACAAAATTGGAGAGGGCATTCCTATGGGCGGGCTCTAATAAGACAACTGGGGCCAAGTGTAAGGTTAACTGGGGATCGGTCTGTCGACCGACTGACCTCGGAGGGCTTGGCATCCTGGACTTGACTAACTTTGCGAGGGCCCTTCGGCTCAGATGGTTGTGGTTCGAGTGGACTGAATCTTCCAAGACGTGGATTGGAATGGACAACCCTTGTGATGAGCTCGACCATGATCTATTCTACGCTTCGACGCGCATCACCGTTGGCAACGGGGCATGCGCGCCATTTTGGGACTCCCCATGGGTCAATGGCGAGAAACCTTCCGCCATAGCCCCTCTCATCTTCGAGGCTTCCACGAGGAAGAAATGGAACGTAAAGGAGGGCATGCATGCGGGTGCGTGGCTGTCCAAAATCAAGCTCCCCAACAACTGGACAATGGAGCACATCCGGCAGCTTGTCACGCTTTGGGCTCGGCTAAGGGCCATTCCACTAGCGGTGGACGCCGATGACACCATCACCTGGAAGCATACTGCCAACAGAATCTACTCCGCCACATCCGCGTACAGTGCGCAACTGCTCGGGTTGGTCAGCTCGCCCATGGGCTTCGCAGTTTGGAAAGCATGGGCCCCACCTAAGATGAAATTCTTTGCTTGGTTGGCAATCCAAAACCGAGTCTGGACGGCGGATAGACTAGAGAGGAGGAGGATGGCCGAACTGCGGCCTCTGTCCACTATGCAAGCAGACGTTGGAATCAGTGAGCCACATCTTCTTCAAGTATCGGTACTCCCTTAGGCTATGGGGCATGATCAAAGGCTGGCTTAAACTTGACTACCTCGACATCTCATCCTGGATCACGATGCGCTCCATCAAGGACTGGTGGCTCAACATGTCGGCCTCCAACATGCCCAACCGAAAGGCGATGGCTTCTCTTGCTATGCTGACCTGCTGGACCATTTGGTGTGAGAGAAATGCGCAGGTGTTTCGTCACAAGTCCACGCCTCCGTCTGTATTGCTGTCGAACATCCAGAGCGACGCCAACCTTTGGGTAATTGCGGGTGCTAGGCACTTGGGTCAAATCATGCCGAGAGAGTAGTGCCATTGTAATATTTTCTTTCGCTTTTCTTGTAAAAGCAACTCTAAACTTCTTCTTAATTAATGGATGAGGCAAAGCTTTTGCCTCCGTTTTGAAAAAAAAATGGACAAGAGGGGTGACACTAAAGCATGATCAAGCATGAAGATGAAGGCAAGATTTTAGGACTTTGAAGCCACCATAATGACCGAGGACATGGAAAAATATATAAGATGATGCTCCATATATTTGTCCATAGCCTTTCATAAGTGTTGCGCCACTTTACTTTTGGATCAAACCTATAATTTTGAAATGCAGGACCATCGGTGTTTTTTATAGACTGTATTAGTGGAAGAAACAGACTTAAGGTGGATTCGGCACCCCCTCTCTACGACGGGCCGACCAAGTTCCTCTCTTTCCCTCCATATGTACAACCCCTAGGGCATCAGTTAGACTCGGGTTTTGATTAGTTAAAAGTTTGGCATAGTTGCAATTTTGTGTACTTTGTTTGTGTTTGACCAAGACAGCTTATAAAACCCCAACTTTTATCAATACTTTATCTATATTTCAGGACGGAGCCAAGAATCAATGGAAGGGGGCCCAAACACAAATTGCCAAGCAGAGAGGGGGGGGGGGCAAAATACTTTTTTTGCAATCTTGGAGGGCCATACCTGGAGCCTGCTTTCTTTGTTGACATACAAGGTTGGCCTGGGGCGTGGGTAAATCCTTGCCATGTAAATATTTTTGGAGATGGAGTATTCTTTTTTTAAAGGACACACCTAAACCTGATATAAGTACATATTATGGTGTAAGGGGTCTGCATGACAAATTCAGGAATACGATTTGCATGAAGAAATTATCTAATGTAAATATTTTTGATGATTTAGTTTTTCTTTCAAAAAAGAAATGATACACCTAAACCAGATAGTAGTACATAGTATGATGAAAGCAGTTCGCATGACAAGTTTAGAGATGTGATTTCCATGAAGAAATTATGTAATGTAAATATTTTCGACGATTTAGTTTCATGCCTAAACAAAGCCTGGCGCAGTGGTGAAGTCCTCCCCACTTGTGCCAAGAGGTCCTAGGTTCGAACCAGCCTCTCTGCATTGCACTTTGCAGGGGTAAGACTAGGTTCCTATAATCCCTCCCCAGACCCCACCTTGTGTGGGAGCTTCTATGCACTGGGTCTGTCCCTAAACAGATGGTTGTACTGGTGGTGAAAAGCAGTATGCTTAAAAATACCACCAATATCAGATAACTGTCCGTGATACTACCCCCCCTTCTCTGGGAAGAGTGAGACGCCCACCGTGGGGCTCGAACCCACGACCATAAGGTTAAGAGCCTTGCGCTCTACCAACTGAGCTAGACGGGCTGTGTGAGGGCAACCATATCTAGGCGTTTATATTCACAGAGCAATGTAGCATTTCGCGGACTGCTCCACTAGCTCAAAGAGCAGAGCAGGAGACAAAATCAGCGGCTATAATCATCAATCTAAAACCGTATGTATGTACCGAGACTGGACGCTCAAAAACCAGGAGTGCAGAAGCAGAAGCAAATCGCCCCAAGAGGTTCAGAACTGCAAACACTGACATAATGACATGGTAATCTGCTCCCAACACACCAGTTAAAATCCGGCTCTCCGCCCGCTTTGGCACCAACTTTCTCGTGTGTGTGTGCAAAAATTGGCTATCACGGAGCCTACTCATAGCCGTTACAGCAGCTATGTGCCAAAGAGGGGGCTTAACTACTCTCCCGGGTGTTTTACTAGACACATTACATCAATAAGAACAAACAATAAGAGTGCGGCGGTCTCAACTAAGATTCGAGGGCTCCCGTTAGTACGACACAAGCTCGGATAGCAGCAGGAAGCAGATCCACGGCAGCAGAGGCCGTCAAAGGTATCTTGGTCGCCGGGAGATTCTCTTGAGGTTCACCATCTCCTGGAAAAGAAAATCGGGAACTTTCTGAAGATCTGGCGAGATTTAAGTGGATAGTGCGAGCATTGAAATTTATGACTCAAAGAGAAGAGCAATATAAACACCAGGTATGACAAAACAATTGAAGATTTTATGGCTTGGTACGAGATATTCCGAAAGAAACAGTGACCGGGCTGGTTGAACATACCTGGCTCTGATCATGATCATATTCAACATGGAAGAGGCATCTGCATCCCCTTATATCATGCTGTTTCCGCTGGACATCCAGAACGTGTGCATCGAAGTGCAGTGCTTCATCATTGCTCTCCTGATGTAAAAATTGCGACAAGAACATAAATAACTCGAGAGCTCTGCTTAACAGTAAGAAGCCGCGGCAGGATATAACAAAACACAACATTCTCAGTTCCTACGAAATGCTACCCGAGGTTAATCATTAGCACTACCTTGAAACAGAGGACAAGATCTCCTTTTACAATGCTTCGGCATTCTGAGGACTCCAGCGGAATGGATTGCTGGCGGACAGCCTTCCTGACATTCACCCACTCATCTTCTTCAGCCCCATACCCGATAAACCTCACCCGGACTTCCTAGAACAGCAATGCAGAAAAGATATAACTCTGATGAACAAAATCACAAATTGAAATAAAAGAAGATTCCCTACTCAGCTGTTAAACAAGTCATGGAAATAACATATAAAAATGCTCTTATATACAACATCAGTTATTCTCCTTACAACTTCTCCCAAACTTGTCTTCCTGTGTGCCAAGAAAAGGGCCACGTCATACCTGATGTCACAATTCAATATGAAAAAATTTAGTGTCACTGACAAATTTAAGGAAAAAAAGGAAGATGAAAACTTGTAGATAGACATACCCAACCAAAGCATGCTAGCACATTTTTTCTGGCTACATGCACAACAATTAAGATTTCTGCTCCATGGTATAACACTAACAAACATTACACAGAAGTGCAAGCTATCCTAATCAGACAGCTCGAAGAAAGGTATAACATCCAGGTTTTACTATTGACAATGCTGTCTTGGATCACCACATTATTATTAGCATTATTAGGAGAGGTGGAAATAAACTGTTATGATCAAAACCTCTCGTGCTCATTAGCTAGAAATTAATAAAAACAAGTAGGTATTATGCAGAGTTGATCAATATAAATTCACCACTATAGTCATGCTCAATGGCATACTCCTAATAAAAGAAACCAAGGTACAACAGGAGTTAAGTGCCTTGCTTTCATCTCATGGTCACTTGATTACTCAGAAGACAATAGAATGGGGCAAAGGAAACAAGAATGAAATTGTTGCAAACAAAAGGGAGAAAGGGGAAAGGAAAAGAGGAGAGAAAATAGCTCTTGCAAGTAAAAGAGTCCTCACCATGCAGAATCCTTTGATGACTTAGCCTCAAACTGCAAGTCTTCAAATTCAGGAACCTTATCTGTAGTCTCTGAAAACAAGCCAGCACATAAGAAATTTAGTAAATGGTTTCAAGCACCAGGCATAAAGTTTCAACGGACAAGTACTCATGACTACCTTTGGGTAAATCTGGAGAAAGTGCATCCTCATTGTTTGAAATACTTGTATCAAGAGCTAAAGCTTTTTCTTCAGAAGCTGAAGTCTTTATCTCAGAAACTAACGCATCTGGTTCTGAGGCTAAAGGCTTTTCTTCAGAAGTAGTAGGCAAGGAAGCAGGTTTAGGAGTTGATGCAGGGAGCTTATCAAGGAACCATCCTCGAACCTGTTCAAATAGATGTCATACAAACACACTCGGTGAAACATGGACAATGTAAAAAGGCATTATCACCTGTGTAGCCTGTAGAGCTCTGCTTCCTACTCGGGCTGGAGAACGACTACACAGAGGAGCAGAAAATGAGACCAAATATCAGAAGTGTCACTTACACTATCATAAATACAGTCAAGCAACAACATATGACACGTATGCTTAAAAGGTAACATAATATAACTTCAGTCCTCCAAAAATGCTCTCTTAGGAATTGCGATCGAAGTATATGTTCCCTAGGTTAAGGCACTCACTTAAATTCTTCTACAAGCTTCTGGCAGAAACTATCAACCAAGACTTGCTCTTTTCTGTCTGATGAAACCAACTTCTCCATCCTCGCAATCTGTACCAAGAAAAACTTCTAGTTAGCACTAGTTAGCATGGCCAAAACAAGTAGACATAGGTATGAGGCATGACATGGTAAGCAAAAAGGCATTCACCAATTCCCAAAATACAGACACACTGATTGAGCTATATCTGTTTGCACATCAAGTCATCAAAACTAGACCCGAAAACATAAAATAGGAACAGGTGACATCCAGGTAGTGGTGTTTAGTTACACAACAAACTAAATAATACAATAATGCTCGGACATGTATCAAAGCCATGCCGATTCTCAAAAACAGTATGCAGCATGAAGCAATGAACGCCGCGCCCGAGTTAAAGATATAAGAGACATAGCACAACAATAACTCCATCCATAGTAATATTTATATTGTTTAGATGATCCATATCAAACTCTGAAACTAGGTGAACCGATCTATGAAGCACTTCATCTCTACCAATATAAAAAGAACCTAAGGAGCAGATCCAACTAATCTCGGCCATCAAACCAGGTCAATCCAACGACCTAGACTGCTCCAATGGGAGCGCTCAACATATTTAGCGTCCAATTAATATCATACCAAAAATAGTGTTAATCATATAATTAACACGCAAATAATATCCTACCTAATATCCACGTGCAACTAATATACTGCCTAATATAAGCATGCATTGCACGTACACATTTACTAGTGATAGTATTATCCCACCCTCGCTCCAAAATGGATAAGCAAGTACAAAACAATAATGCATTAACAATGTTTGCCGGCCATGTGTCAAATGACTTGAAATTCTTTCGGAGGAAGCTATTAAGGAACAGATTGAGTGGTTTTAAACATAATATTTTTATGCCTATTGCTCTTATACTAGAAGATGAGTGTTCAGAAACATTTTTCAATCGAAATCGAGCTGCAACTGATTGTTTTCACTGGTCCGAAGGTGATGGATCCCCTTACCTCATGAAAGCACCAAATTCAACTTATGCATGAGCGGATGCTCACATCTAGGGGGCAAACGGAAAACAATAAGTTTTGGGTGTCCATTTAAAAGTAGGCGCAGCTTAACGCATATGCTACATATTGCATACTAACAAACCCTTTAGACTGGAATAACCTCCAACCATTTCAAATTATCACCACAACTAAAGATTAGGTCTCAAATGCTATCTACAAACTGAAAAATATAATGCAGTGCTCCAATAATTCCATCCCTACAGTTGCTTGGACTGATCATCAACTGACATTTTGGTCCAACGTTTGGGAATCATCAGCCCCAACAAACAAAACCCTAGTGATCTTTTCCACATCAGATACCATTATTACACACCAGCACAGAACAATGTGCCACGGGAGTACACAACGTATTGCAAAGAGAGCAGGAGAATCGCGATATGGACAATAATCAACATCCGCATGCAAGGGGGGAAATGGTCAGTACCCACAACACCGACAAATACGGAAAAAAAGTGTGTTACCAAAATAAGGGCACTGGAGCAACAAAAATCCAATAAGACTTCCCCCGTCCAAGAGGAGCTTCCCCTTCACGGAGAGCACCCCTGGATGAAACCTAATAAAACGAGGGCCAAGGAACATCCGCAGCAGAAACCGCCGCGAACTCAAAACGCAATGGATGGGGCGGCATCGAAACGACTGGATCGCGTCGGACGGTAAGCGTCCTCTTCCTATCGAACCGGAGGGGAAGCTCCTAACCATATCCGACGCCGCAGATACAGCAAATACCGGGGAGGGGTGGCGCCCATGAAGCACTGAAGAGCAGCGGGCCACCGCATCGGGGCGGCGAGGATGGGGGGAGAGGGGAGGGGGCGAATGACGCTGTACCTCGGAGGGCGAGAAGCGGGTGGTGGATCGCCGCTCCATCGGTGGCCGGCGGCGAGGTCGAGGACGGGCAGGGGGAGGACAGAGGGGAGAGGGAGGCGGCTTCCAGTCCAACCACCAGTGGCACGGGCAATTATGGGGGGAGCTGCCTGTGCTGTCTCCGGATGCGCCGAGCGTGGAAAAAAAGAGGAATAAACCGAGTGAGAGAAGAGGGGAGGAGGGGAAGCAGGAATCCCGGAAAGTGGGGCTCGGCCCACCGGAAACGGCGTGGACCCCGCTGTCCAGTAGGGGTGGGGAGTTCGGGGTCGGCTAATAATACGGCTCGGTTACTTCGGGTTTTTTCCCCTTCTACTCCCTCCGTTCCTAAATACAGTATATAAGTCTTTGGAGAAATTCAACTATGAATCACATACGGATGTATGTAGATGCATTTTAAAGTGTAAATTTACTCATTTTACTCTGTATGTAGTCTATAGTGAAATCTCTACAAAAACTTATATTTATAAATGGAGAGAGTATATAAGAGTACTGCTTCATGGACGATAATATGTAGCCGATTTGTGCACGACACATGTTAACAGCCACCCATCATTTTGGTTCGATGGGGTTATAGCCATCGATCACAGTTTCGTCTATAAATCGTCCACCAAAGTGTCGTGTGCATGGTGATTTCGTCTATGTAAACTGCGGTCGGCACCGAATTTTGATTATTAATCACCATTTATGCAAAACCTAAAATCGAGCAAAGCCAACCGAGCCAGGAAAAATGAGGATTAAGATTAGCACCACCTGTAGAAACGAGATCTTCTATTTTTTTCCGCGGGAAACGAAACGAGATCATGACCAATTTTGAGGCGTGTTTGGTTGTCATCTTGAATTTACCTTGCATTGCATACATGTTTCGGTTGGGTCTGAGAGAAAACGAGAAAAAAGAACAACATCTGCACCTCATTTTGATCGCCCGCATTTAGGCTTCCTGCATTAGGGGATCGGTTTTGACATGTTGTTTGGTGTCCTGCATTTGTCTCCACTCACATAACTATACGGTGTTTTGGTTGTATACATGGGATATGATTAAGAATTAACACCTATACATGACACATTGTTACAGTAGAGTTCCTTAGCAGTGTGCTCGCGATGGCGGCATCGGTGTAAGCCGAGGGCGAGGACGACGCTGGCGGCAACGCCAGGCACAACATGACGTCCATCTGACAAGGTTGACATCTACACATAACACTGACAACGCCATAGCGCCGAGGAAGAACATATATGAAGGAGTTGCACGCCATAGTCGCGTCAGTGCAGGAAGCGCAGAGGAGGGGGCCAAAAAGAACAACGCTGCCTACAATGTCGATGTAGTAGGACGCGAGAGAGGAGATCAAGAAGAACGACGCCGACGGTGGCTTCAGTGTAGCAGGACGTGGGAGAGAAGACAGAGAGGAGCGACGCCGACGGTGGCGCTAGTGCAACAGTTCGAGGGAGAGGAAGCCAAGAGGAACGACGTCAACGGTGGCGCCAGTGTAGCAGGACACGAGAGTGAAGACCGAGATTAAGGAGTGTCATTAACACACATCACACATATGCATATGTACGTTCCAACGAAAAAGAAGTTAGATCTACTCGTATATGATCGTTGAAATAGAAAATGTGCAATACGGACAACGTGTGAAACTGCAAGATGAAGTCACTGGTCAAAGGAAATTTCAAAACGGTCGATCGTGCGCGATGAAATGACAAATTTGTCCAAAATAGCTCTAAACATGAATACGAAATTAAGCATTTACTGTCGATGAAACTACGAACCGACCGCCTTAGTGAAATTATGACATTGATGTGCATCTTTTTCATGTAGAGTTTATTTCGAATCAAAGCACTGTTGTGTACATTAGAAGATATTAGAGAGGAGCTTAATGAAGGTAGAATAAGATAGCAAGTATAAATTTCCTTCGTCGATATTTTTTAACACTACACTAGTGTCAAAACAATTGCATTATGAGATGAGGGAGTAACTCGCTTCCCTCGAGCCTTCTCTCGTGTAAGAGGATCCATCATATGCGCTGGATGTGCCTCATCTCAATCCGGCTAACTGAAAACGGTCAGATTTGAACATTTCTAATGGTTGAGAAATGCTTAAAGTAAGGGGCGGTTTAGTTTTAGGCCTAGGAATGCCACATTTTGTCACATATTTCTTGCCACACTTGTCTAAGATTAGTTATTTAAAATAAGAGTTACAAGTTGGCAAGCCTAAAGAAATCTTGCCACATTTTTTGAGTGTATATGAGGCCCTAGTGTGACAAAAAGTATATTGCCTAAGGTAAGTTTGAACCAAACATCCTCCTAAGTTGATTAAAGTTACACAATTTTAGGTGTGGCAACATGTGGCAACTATAGTCACAAACCAAACAGTCCTAAGTGTGATGCGATGCGGGTAAACACGCCCGGGTGCGGCTACCGACGACGGTCCAAAGAGCGGTGACGCCTTGGCTGCTTCTCCAAATCAAATCGCTGGAGCTCGCTCTCCTGGTGCAACACAGTAGCCGCTTATGCAGCTCGCTCTTTCTTTCAGTGTTGGTGCTCAACATAGCAGCCGCTTCTGCTAGGACTGGGGGAGGGCGAAGGTTGGCCGTCGACATGGCCGAACGAGCGAGTGAAAAATTTTCTAACTATTTTCAAGAAACTTTCAATTTATTCATCTTTAATTATAAAAGTTACATGTCCGCAAACCATCTAGCGACGACTACAAGCATTGGAGCGAGTCAAAGGCGTGCAACCGTCATCGCCTCTCCTTCACTAAAGCCACGCAAACCTTGTTGTAATACACAGTCGGAAAGTCGCCGTACTAACACCCCATAGGACGAGCGCACTAGAGCAGCAACCATCGTCGATGAAGAAAAACGTAGATCAGAAGGATCAAACCTATAAACACTCAAACGAAGGCGAACGAAAACCGGATCCAAACAGATACACAGAAAACCAGCACCGATCGAATCCCCTCGATATCCGACAGAAACACATCATGCTAGATGCACCATCGGAATGGGAATAGAATGTGGAAGACTGAAAGTGCTTGTTATCGACTAGAGGGGGGTGAATAGGCGATTTTTATGAAAGTCTTCAAAACACGGTGGCTTTGAAGACAAACAAATAAACTGAACCTATATAGTAAGCAGCGGAATGTAAACTACACTAGGCAAGCATTAGTCAAGCATACAATACAGTTGAAGCACGAAGACTAATTGCAGATAGGTAGACATGATCAGAATGGAAGACAGTACGAAGCCAAACAGATATAAATCTTCACACTGTGAAGTCAAATGAGCCGTCGACCACACCGGACGCCGCAGCTCCCGCCTTGCCGGGAAGGAGCCGTCGGGGTACGTCAAGATGCTTGACCGGGCCAAGGCGGCGAAGGCGGCGCGCTTCGACACCTCCAAGGGCTCCCCCCGACTCTGTGCTGCTGTGCGAGCTGCCGGCATCGGCGTCGACGACGGCGTGCCAGCCCCCCTCTCTCTCCGCCAGCTCCGAGCTCTCGGGGAGCCGTGTGGCGTCGACCTGGACGCGTTGGCTGCTGGGGCTCGCGCTGAGTTGGCGTATGGTGCTCCATGATCCGCCCTTCCCTTGTAAGGCCTCGTGTGGCCGCAGCTTGTTCTCCCCCAACCCCTTCCTTCCTTTCTTTTAGATCGCCATGAGTGGTTTGGTGCTCCTGTCCGTGGGCCTTGCATGGCTGCCGGAGTGCCTTATCTTTTTGCCTTCTCTCTTTCCCCCCGTGGGGTGTGTAATGGCCTTAGGCCCGCTTGTGCCTCTAATCACTACTGGTGTTTTTTACCTGTTGTTTTCTTCCTGTTGCTTACCCAATCCCCCATGACTGGGCTGTTTTCGCTGTGTACCTAGAACGTCCGTGGACTCGGCGATGCATGCAAGTGTCGTGATGTCCGTGCTAATTTCGAGGCCATGCAACCCTCCTTTGTTGCGATCCAAGAAACCAAACTTGAGCGCCCCCCCTATTGCTAAAACTGAAACGTTCCTCCCCCCTCTCTGCGTAATTTTCTCTACATCGACTCGGTCGGCGCATCGGGAGGGATTTGCTCAGCCTGGAACGCTAATATTTTCTCCCTTTCCCACCACGTTGCCACCTCTCACGCCCTCTCCGTTGACCTCTCTCTTTGCCAAGATAGCTCTCCCCTTCGGATCACCAACGTGTATGCCCCCTACGTCCACAGCGCCAAAGAAGCCTTTCTCGCCGAGCTGGCCGGCCACGCTCCCCCTTAACCCGTTCCATGGGCTATTTTAGGTGATTTTAATCTCATTAGGTCGCCTGAAGACCGTAGCAACGACAACTTTTCTCGCTCTGAGGCAAAATGGTTCAATGACTTCATTAACGATCTCGCGCTCATCGACCTTCCTCTCCAGGACCGTCGGTTTACGTGGTCTAGCCAACAAACCTCCCCGATTCTTGCTCGCCTCGATCGTGTTCTCGTTAACACTACCTGGGACATGGCTTTCCCCACCTCCATGCTTTCTTCATTTACACGCTCCACCTCTGACCATGTCCCCCTGCTTGCATCCATCTCCTCGGCGGCCCCCAAGACGCGCATTTTTCGGTTCGAGAAATCTTGGATGCTTCATCCGTCCTTTCGTCACTCCATCCGCTTTGCTTGGCTATCTGCGTTTCGGGCTGACGCAACCGCTCGTCTTGTGGCTAGGCTTCGTCAGTGCCGCCTCGGCTGTAAACGTTGGGCTAGGCGAGTTGCACCGGCTGCTCAGCGTGAGAGCGACTGTCGCGTGCTTATTGACATCCTTGATCGTATTGAAGAGAGCCGACATCTCTCTTCTCTCGAGGCCCTTCTTCGTACCCTCACCGTCGAAGCTCTGCATGCCTCTGTTAAGGAGCGTGTCATCTATTGGAAACTTAGGGCGAAATTCCGCTATGCCATCGACGGTGAAGAAAACATGGGATTTTTTCATGCGTATGCTTCCGCTCGCTTTCGTAGGAACTACATCCCTGTCCTCTCCCTGGAGGGGCGCGAGATCTCTTCCCATGA